ATTTGAACCTGCCACCTTAGGTGTATGTGGCTGGCACCTTAGCCGCTTGAGCCACAGGCACTGAGCCGTGAATATACTTTTATCACATGACTGTATATATGACTATGTATGTTGAAATGAACTTTGTCCTCCACAATATTTGCATAACCTTGTACATGCACATGAGGAAAAATGCTAATTCGGAAACCTGTGGTGCCCAGTCCACTGCTTCCTTAATTAATCAAAACCCAGTGAATCTATAAGCTCTTGATTCCATGTTCTAAATAATTAACTTTTGAGACGAGACACACTTTTTTTTTTTAACCAACAACAGGGACAGTCACTGTTGAAGTTTTTAAATAATTTATTTGGGAAGTATGTTCCCCCCAAAGTCAGGCTGGACTGGGAGCTGATGGGCAAAGGTAATCAGCTGTATAAGTCAGTATATTTGCCTTTGAGTATTACAAGAAGTACACAGAGCACACATCTGGGTTATAAAAGCCCTTTTATAAAGCCATTTTTAAACAAAACAAAACAAAAAAAAGGTTTACAAAAGAAAAAAGATACAGAAAAAGAATTACTTGCTTCATATGTCCCAAAAAGAGAAAAAAATAAAGGGGACAATGCCAACATGCTCAACAATAAAGGGTTCTTTTTCTTATTTTTTTAATACAAAATACAAGCAAAGGATACACATACTTAAAACAGAGCTCAGGAGCAGACACGCAGTCCTGGAAACCCTTCAATGAAAGCAAAGCAGGAGTTTTTTTCTTTGTCTATGCAGATACATACAGAGACTGGGATATGTAAAAATTATGTATCACAAAAGACCATCACACGATTCTACCAATGCATGTTGCATCTATAATTCACGAACATGGTCAACAAAATCATGTTCACTTCAACCCCATTTTATTTAAATTAAAGAAAAAAACCTTTTAAATAAAGTGGTTACATTCAAACTTTAACTTCCTTAGTACCATGCTGCAGATTTCAGCACTGTTAAGGTATTGCAAGAATGCCCAACCCTCTGGTGTCTGATCATGTATCTAGCAACATTGCAGGATGAAGAAAGAGATGCCTCGGTCTTAGCCTATCAACTAATACATTTAAGCAGGTTCCTCTTTTACCCTTCCTGCTCAGAATATGAAAGATTAAGAACTAAAATCAAGGAAGACTGGGAACTTTAGAGCTGGCAAAATAAAAGATAAATCAAGGCAAACAATTACTGAGAACTCGGCTGTTACTTAACCTGGCAAGTCTTAAAGTCTTTCTGTAACTCTTGCAGGGATTAGGTGTATAAGGTTTGCTGCAACACGTTCATGGTAAACAAACTAAGTAGAGCTCTTATTTACAAATCTTGTAACAAATACTTCTGGAGGAAAAAAAGAAAAGAATTCACTAAGTTCCAGAAGACAAAGGTTTAATTGCCAGACGTATACAAACACACACTCACACACACACCCACACAATATTCAGGGGGTTTTATACATGTTATTTTAGGGCATAAGCTGAGTACTATACCCCCACACCCCATCAAAAAAGGAACAACAAAAAGAAATCCCAATTTTACCCTCCCCCAATAATCTAGAAAACCCTCCCTTCACCCCTGATGTACAAAGTGTATGCACACTGTGGCATCCTACCAGCCACACAAAGCATGCTCCAACAGATGTCACCAGTTCAGTCACTCCACTGGCATGGCAACAGGCAGGTTTACGGGATTTTTCCCAATAGTGGTTATTACACAGTCAGCACCACTGCGAATTTTGTGAATTAGGCTTTGAAAAAAATGTAACTTATGGATTCAGAATTCAAAAGGAATCATGTTGTATTGAGTTCATCCAAGACAAAGGGAAAATGAGTTGAAACTGAAACTTTACTGTAAATAGCTTGATGTCCCAATATTCAAACAATAAACTAGTTCTCTATTTTCAAGTAAACTCAAATTCATCCACAGAGAAATGGACAATTTTCTAATTGAGAGCAATCAGCTTGTTACATTTTCCCTATCTGGCAGCAAGAAATGTGTACTGTATCAGCCTAAATGCCATTAAAACCAGGTCAGGTTTCTTCCTTTCCAAACTCCTAAGGTTAAAGTTTTTCCTTTTCAGCGCAGCTGTTGGTGACACAGGCAAAGAAATAACTGTTCAAAACCGGCACTCATTCTTCAAAACAGCAACAATGGCCACACGACCTTTTGTAAAGCTTTCCCTGTTGCTCCTGGTATTAAATTCTGCTCTTGCCTTTCTAACACTCTCAGAACAACTCCTAAACTGTTTAACAAAAAGTACTATCCCTATTAAGAAAAACGTGTCAAGTTCAGACTAGCTGACCATATGCACAAGTGTCACAAACTTTACTGGAGTATAACCTCCAATTCCATTCTTGATTTGTTAAGAAAATGCTATTTGAACCAGTACCAAGAATAAGCATTAAACTGAGGATTGAACTGGGGCAAACCAGTTATTGTGAAAAAACAAACAAAACAAAAAAACCCAACATCCAAGCTCCTTCAAAGGAAATCAACTACTATTCCTCAATATTAAAAGATTTCCACTCATTACCTCCCTAAAGGAAGAAACACCCTTATTTTCCTTTATGGAATCAATATGGAGTGGAATTATAAAAGGGGGAGATGTTTGAGAAAGCAGGAGAAACTGACCTACATTTACTGAAATGAAAATGTATTCTTTGGGCCCACTCCATTGACTCTGATCTGAGGTTGAGGACTAACAGCAGCAGCAAGTTGACAGATTAATTTGTCAACTAGCCATGTCTAGCTGGGGGTGAGGGGGGGTGTCTGGTAAAAAGAACTTAAGTTTTAGGATGTAGTGTCATTCAGCATAATTGCCGAAATCTATGTTGTAGAGGTAAACCTAGCAGAGCCACGTAGAGAATTCAAATAACACAAACGAGCACCTTCAAAGTTAACATCCCACTTCCTGAGCACTGCAAAATAAGACAGTGAACGCTATTGCCATTTCACCATAGGCACGCTAGAAAAAAAGAGGATGTTTAGTCAAAGGTGGTGCCAATGGCCAGTCCCTATTGGCTTGCAGCTCCTAATCTGTCCTCACATCACTATCAAGCCTGACTATTGAGCACCTGTTTCCAGTTTGAGTCATCACAACCATCCACCTACTTGCATGCATGATTTAAGGGAAGACTAGAGTGTTTTAAATCAATAAAAAGTGGAGAAAACAAAGGTTCTTCAGAGCCTGTCTCACTTGGGGACACAGATCCTCCTGTCTAGTCTATTAGAAATACAGAATACATATTTCAATCTAATGAGTTTTAAAAGGGACCCCGAACAAGAAACTCAATTAAATGCACGCAAGTAATCTACAAGACATGATTACCTCTCAAAGAAGTGCATATATCACAGAGATGTTAGTGCAGATTAATGTCACACAAAAAAATTTGAGACTGAAGTTTTAAGTCTCCCTTCTCCCATCTTCATGAAATATAACCTAAGAAAAGCCCAAATGTTACTAGGAATGTAAGACAAAATCATAAACTCCTAAAAAATCGAAGTGCATGGTGGAAACACTGATAGGTCCTTTACTATATGAATTTAAACCTTTTGTTAAAAATTGATGGATACCTGAACAACCCTACTTGAGCAAATAGATTAATCTTTAACACCCTTTTTACAAAGTTCACAACTATGAATTTCACCATCATGAAAGAGAATAATCCAGTTGCTACTTATGTTCACGTCCTGTATTTTTGGCCATGTTAAAAAACTCCTTATTCATGCTTTAACACATAGTGCAACAGTGAAATGACTCTGCCACAGGGTGTGTAAAGATACAGTAAGAATGTTCCTTAAAGTGTCTTAAAAATCAAGAGTAGAAATATTCCCTAAACAATCTTTAGTCCTAGCAACACTTGCAAGGAAGCCATGTTGTCTGAGAAAAGTAAGTTGTCACTTAAAAGGCAGAAAAAAAAACCCATGAAGTAGGATGTTAAGGATGTAAATCTAGATTAAAAGGCAGGAAAAAGGCATAAGTTAAATTTCACTAATTTTTCAATTTATAAGCATACTAGAACTCTAGAACCTTGCTTCCATTAGCTCATGGTGTCAGGATGCAGAGGTTCAAACCTATAGATCTATCTCCTGACTGCTTTCATAAGGCAAGTAAGATGTCTGTTATCAACTGCACACAGGCCTCTAAAATGCATGGATTCTCTAGTCCTGCTGAGTCCCAGTCTCCTGCTTTGAGCAATATGAGCAGTAAGCAGGGAGTTGGGAACAACTAAAAGACAAGAAGAGCAAACTAGTATGGGAGCAGCATTTAACATACTCCCAATGAAGGACAGAATGGGAAGTGAAGAATAAGAGCCAGGAAAATAGTGTCCTATAGTAGAGCTGGCAGGCACTGGGGGTAGAGTGCTCAGTGGTGTCTTATGTAGCAGCAGAAAGTGGAAAGACATACTTCCTACTGTGTTTCCATGAAGAAATGGGAAGATTAGAATATGGAAAAGAAAACGTTCTATTCCCGAATAAAGGCAGAGCATGGTTCATGGAATCTGAACACACATTTATAGCATAAAAGAATCTTAATTCTTTTATCATAAAGGAAAAATCTCAACTCTTTGTAACTCAGTTTCACATTAACTGGAACTTTATTTGCTTAAAACCTAAACATTGTCAGTCTGAAAAAAAAAATCCATTGCAGTGTGTAGATTGATCTTGCCAATTAAATTCTAGGATGGTTTTATTTTGGAGGGATCCTTGGTAAAATTTCATCAAAAAAATTAAAAACCAGGATACATATGTATTTTTAAAACATGAACCATCAGAAAAAGAAATATGAAATCAAGAGTGATTTTGGTTTTGGCGGCCCCCTGTGTTTTTTTGTTTGTTTTTTTTTTGTTTTTAAGCTCCTAAAGACTGTTGCAGAATAAAAGGATCACTGGCTCCGAGTCTCTTTGAGATAACAAATGATGAAATAAAAAAGAAAACGCACACCCTCAAATAAGGTCAGGTAACCCCATTCCCCACCCTCCCTTCAAGGTAAAAAATATGAGTACTTTTAGTAACAATTCAGAATTCATCTTTTATCTCCTACCTGCTTCATCAGTGGAAGTTTAAAGTCATGAATTTTTTTAGACATTTATACTTGTGTATTTAGACATATAAACTCAGTATTAGATGACAATTAATTTTTAAAAGTCCAAGTAGAGAATGAAGCAATCAAAACCTCTCTACATTTTTGGATTACTATTCAACTTGCCATCATTTAGCAAAAAGCAGTTTCCATAGTGTTCACCTCAAATCTTATTGCTTTACAATTGTGGCATACCTTCCATTAAAATGAAAAGATGAAGCAGTTAATCCAGTGATTAATTTGACATGGCTTTCATTGGGAAAGGGATGGTGGCGGTAAAGAGACCAACAGACAAAAAGGTAACTTAAACATACAATGGTTCTCTTTAAAAAAAGAGAAAGAGAGAAAGCAAGCAAGAGAGAAAATGTTACTTTTAACAAATGAAAAAAAATAATGAAAGCCCATGAGTCAAGCCATAGCCAAAACCATGTTCTATCTTAAGTAGGTTCTTTTTTTCTCCCTCTTTTTTCTTTTTTTTTTTTCCTTTTTTTTTAATAAAATCTTTCCCCAAACCATCATCACTTTTAATCCTCCCCAGACTGGGCTTCATCTTCAGACCCTTCATCCCCAGACTTCTCAGGTGGGGGGCTTGCGGATGTTTTCTTTTCTGGAGGGCTTTCTGGTTCCTCATCATCTTCTTTGGGAGAAGGAGTCTTTTCCTTTGATGCCTTTGAAGCTGTGGGGCGACCCACTTTCCCTTTACCTTTCACTGGACTTGGTGTCACTGAAAGGGAAATAGAGATGTGGAGAGAGAGAGAAAAAATGTCTTTAATAAAAATCATCTATAAAACAAAATAATTTGGAAGAATAAAATCTATAAAGACAACATCTCAACTTACTAACAGTCAAAGTGGGCATGAGGGTACACATACATCCCCAGATAAATCTATCCGAATGTCTAAACTGGTCATGATAAATTATTGCAATATGTTGTAGTAGTTTCCTATCAGGTTTTACCAATACTCTAATGTTATGTTAGCTGAGTAATACTTATAATGAAGAACAAGATGCTATAGAAAATGTAAATTAATTTTTAATGGTTTGTGAATCTAAAAGTTATTTATCTTTAAAAAGGAGGAAAAAAAGAGGGAAGGATAAGCCTTAATCTGAGTAGAAACTGAAGCCATTAAATAATTTGATAGTTCCATCATTCCCAACAGTAAGAAGTAATGAGCGAAAGTTTAAAAATCACTAGTTTTCTTTGCCAGAATAAAATCACTTTTATAAGAAGCAAATCAATTTTTAAGTAACAAACTAGCTCCAACTAGGAGAATACATGGCAGAAACCATCAGAACCCAGAGAAAATGAACTCAAGTACATAGAGGATAGCATAGAAGAGGGAGTAGAGATCAGAACACAGAATTTAAGTATATTACTACAGGTTTGCACATTTTCAGTTTCAAGTCTTTGCTAGCTAATGGGACTATGACATGAGTGAGGGGAAAAAGGCAGTAATAGCTATGCTGATACAGAATCTATCACTGTGCCTGAAACAAAATGGTCATTCCTGAATCTTGCTTATATATGGCAATAGTTGAGAAAGAGTTAAGCACACCAGACTCTTGAAGGAACTAGAGTTCCTATTAATAAGTAAGTGATACTTCCAGATACGGAAGACAGGATCCCTTCACATTTTTTACATTCCAGTTAAATGTCAAGCCAACGCTAAGACGTCATAAAGATTTCTATAGGGAAAAGTATTGGTTCTTAAAATTTTTAATTTCAGTTCTGCTGAATTTACCTGTAGCCTTTAGCCTGGGTTTGGGCATTTTCTTTTCTTTTCTCTCAGGTTTTGACTTCTTAACCATCTTTTTGTTTTTCTTTTTTGAACTGCCATAGTCACTATCATCATCGTCTTCCATTAGGAAATCTTCATCACTGCCGGAATCTTCTGAGAGGAAAGAAGAATTTCAACGTCCAACTTAATGTACCCATCCTTCTAAGTGAACAAAGGAAGAAAGTGCTAAGAAGACTGGAGGATGAGATTTGGTAGTCAAATACTCTTGGATTGTTATTTGTAGCTATACTACCATTGGCCTCATCTGTAAAATGGATTTAGCAAGCACCTCACGTGAAAGCTACATGACTGACAGGTCTGAAGAAAATTGAAACGATCAAACAACTTCTGGTAGTTCCAGCATTCCTATGCAGTACTACTGGTTGAGATCAGGGAAACGAAAACTGAAATGGGCTCAGTGCCTGTGGCACAGTGGTTACAGCGTCGGCCACATACACTGAGGCTGTAATAAGTTAAATAAAAAAAAAAAAATGGAAAACTGAACTGGCCTGGTGTTTTTTGGTCCAATTATGAATATAATAATTAACTAATCTCAATAATCTGTGAAATACCTAAATCCTATTATCAACATTTTTGTGGGAGGAGGAGGTATACAACCACACCACCAGACCAAAATGCAAATGTCAATCACAGCATCCAACCTAACTGGTATTTAATACATGTTTATTCAATGACTGAACACAAACATTGAATCTTTATTATTAAATAAAGAATGCAACCATTACAAATAGTGGATAATCATAAGAATCTCTGATTTTTTATTTTGTGACAAGAGTCTCACTCTTTTGCCCTCCATAGAGTGCTATAGTGTCACAGCTCACAGTAACCTCAAACTTTGGGCTTAAGTGATTCTCTTGCCTCAGCCTCCCAAGTAGCTGAGACTACAGGTACCTGCTGCAAGGCCCGGCTATTTTTTTTTTTTTTTTAGAGATGGGGTCTTGCTCTTGGCTTATTGAATCTGTGGGCTCAGGTGATTCCACCCTCCTTCGCTTCCCAGAGTGCTAGGATTACAGGTGAGCCACCGTGCCTAACCAGAATCTCTCTGCACTTTTAAAAATTAATAAACACAGTCATTTCTTTCTTTTTTTTTAAGAGACAGAATCACACTTTGTCACCCTTGGTAGAATGCAGTAGCTTCACAGCTCACAACAACCTCCAGCTCTTGGGCTTAGGCAATTCTGTTATCTTAGCATCCCGAATAGCTGGGACTATAGGTGCCCGCCACAACACTTGGCTATTTTTTTGTTGCAATTTGGCTGGGGCTGGGTTTGAACCCACCACCCTCAGTATATGGGGCTGGCGCCCTACTCACTGAGCCACAGGTGCTGCCCAGTTATTTCTTTTTTTTTTGAGACAGAGCCTCAAGCTGTCCCCCTGGGCAGAGTGCCGTGGCATTACAGCTCACAGCAACCTCCAACTCCTGGGCTCAAGCGAGTCTCCTGCCTCCGCCTCCCAAGTAGCTGGGACCACAGGCGCCCGCCACAACGCCCGGCCATTTTTTGGTTGCAGCCGTCATTGTTGTTTGGCGGGTCCGGGCTGGGGATTCGAACCCGCTACCTTAGGTGTACGTGGCTGGTGCCTTAGCCGGTTGAGCTATAGGCGCCGAGCCCCAGTTATTTCTTTTAATAGGGAGTTATCCATCCACCTACTGTAGGGAATGGTTTTAACAGTTAGCATTGCAGAAAAAGCCGAAGTAATTAGGGTCACAAAGTACAATCACAACCAAACAACTAAAGTGCACAAGCCAACTTCACATACTTTCCTGGAATGGTGCCTCATCCTCTTCTTCTTGTTCCTCCTCACTGCCCACATCTTCCATGAGCATCTCCCTCTGTTTAGAAGCTGCTTTGGATGCCGCCTGCCGTTGCTGGCGCACATTTTTGTGATCTTCTTTTTCATCGTCACTGTCCTCTAGAATATCAAAGTTATCATGATACAATGATTACAGAATTTTATATTTGACAGCTGACTATAAAAAGCCAACACAGTGGCCAATATAGGATAAACCTGTAGATTTAATTATAAAAGGAAAAACTCTGTCCTTAAAAATTTCCATAAAATATATAAATGGGAGCTAAAATTCATAAAAAGTGAGTTTGAAGACTACGTACCCACTATTACATGTAAAATAACGTTAGCATATAGTTTAAAGCACAAGCAAAGCTGAATTAAAGTGTGATCACATGCTTTCTATAATATACTTTAAGGTTATTGCTTTGTCCTCAAATTGTCAATTACATTCAAATCTGTTTATTGTTTTTAGAAGCTAAAGTTAGATAGTAAGTCAGAGGGGAAGAATGTTTTCCAATGATCTTTATTCTAAAATATAAAATATATGAACCCTAAAATAATGTCTACTACCCTTTATAATAAATAGGGTATGACCAACTGAATTTAGGCGGGATTGAAGGAATTTTCAAAATACATATTTAGGTCAATTAGCTAAAGACCTTTGGACAAGCCTCTAAAAAATTTGCTTTTTACATACAGTCTATTAATAAAAATCTTCAATATAGTGTTTGTAATTAAATGTTGTCAAAGAGAAGGCTGCCAGCCTATTGGGTCCAAGCCAAGATACACTGCCAGGCACAGAGGCTCATACCTGTAATCCTAATACTCTGGGAGGCCAAAGTGGGAGATCACTTGAACCCAAGAGTTTGAGGTTGCTGTGAGCTAGGCTGGCACTACAGTCTGGGCAACAGAGTAAAACTCTTGTCTCAAAAAAAAAAAAAAAAAAGAAAGAAAGAAAGAAAAGAAAAGAAAAAAAGATATATCTGTATTACTCTCTACCTACAGATCTTTTCCTGGACTTTTAGGTTCCCTTATTCTGTTAAGGTTTATTTTCATTTATTTATTTTTTTCTACTCTGTTGCCCTGAGTAGAGTGCTGTGTGTTTTGGCTCACAGCAAACTCAAAACTCTTGGGCTCAAGCAATCTCCTTGCCTCAGCCTCCTGAGTAGCTGGGACTACAGGAGCCTACCACATGGCCTATCTAGTTTTTCTATTTTTAGTAGAGATGGGGTCCTGCACTTGCCCAGGCATGTCTAACTCCTGAGCTCAAGCAATCCCATATGCCTCAGTCTCCAAGAGTGCTAGGATTACAGGTGTGAGTCACCATGCCCCAGCTTCTGTTACAGTTTAGCTGTCATTCTTCTAAAACACTCTTAGTCCTATACACCCCACCATGGTCAGTGTTCAAGTTATCACTTTCACTACCACAAACTTCATCTAAAGACAAATAGGGAAAAATGTTGACCTTAGCAGACCCCAAACTAAACCTACCTGGTAGAAGCTACAGGTTCTAACTACTACAGTTTTTCATCTTGAAGTGCTCAGTAAACTAATAAATGTAAGAGATTCAAACTGAAATTTATAGGGCAAATGAATGAAAGTATCTATTTTTATCATTATAAGATCAGTAGGTAACACAAAAGGTTAATGTAATTTCTTTTCAACTTAGGCAGCCAGATAGCATACTTAAATAGAGAGGGAAAGCAAAACAGCTCAGGATAGTAAATTTACTTCTTAGTTAAATAGCACTCTCATTCAAAGAGATCTAGGAAGATAGTAGGAAGGGAATGTAGGTCAAAACTAAAGTGGCTGGAAGTAATATGGAATAAAACTCTCAATTCTTAGAAAAGTCACATAAATACCAACGAGTCATCAGGATCGAACATTTGATATAGAAACTCCTCATTAATTCATACTAATTCTTTAAAGCTAAAATTCTTACAAAAAAGATTTTTCTATGCCTTCAAAAGTCTTTCTACTGCTTCAAAAGACTGTCTTGGCTAAAAAGAGCAGGAATAAAACTAAACTTTGTTTTTCAACTCATAGTCAATCACTATACCCCCTTCCCCCCCTTTTTTTTTTTTTGCCATTTTTGGCTGGGGCTCAGTTTGAAGCCCCCACTTCCAGCATATGGGGCTGGCACCCTACTCCTTTGAGCCATAGGCACCGCCCAACTATCCCCATTTTATACCTTTATTACATTGAATATTATAAATTCGCTGAACATTATAAATATATAAATGTATTATTCTATTTAGTTTGATGTCTTTTTTAAAAAAAAAAAGCACCAATGGCAAACTAAGTCTACTGAATCAGAAATGTGGAGCTGGGACTCAGATTACATATTTTACTTATTTTCTTTTTTTCCTGTATCCCAAGTCATCAAGCAAAGAATACACATTTTATAAAAGCTTCTTAGATGACTGCAATAAGCCACAGCATTGAAAAATCACTATTTGCTCTTTGAAGATAGACACATCTTTGTAATCCTGGATTTGCAATAGCGCCTGGCACATAAAATCATTTGTTAGTATGTCTGATGAATAAATATATGAATAGAAGTATAGCTACAATGTTAAAAATAGTTTACTACCTGCTGAATGAGAATCATCCTTCTTGGTCTTCACATCTTTCTCTTCTGAGTCCTCACTATAAGCAAAAGGGGAAAAGATGCTTAAAAGTCTTCGATCGAAATCTAAGTGAACACAAAGTTCTGACTTGGGAAGAATTGGAAAATGCCTTCTTTATATATAAAATGCCAAGGAGTACAACTGCTTCCATCATTTCCCCACTTTACAGGGACGCTGGTAAATTAGCACAATTTTATCTATTTTGGAAAACACTGCTTCCAGAGACCCAAAGAAAAAGAAGCTCTCTCAATACAGGCTGAAAATTTCTCACCCATGGATAAGATCTGGCTTATAAGAATACATAATTAAAAAATATATATCCTTTGTGGTGGGTGCCTGTAGTCCCAGCTAAATGGGAGGGTGAGGCAAGGAGATCACTTCAGTCCAAGACTTTGAGGTTGCTGTGAACTATGACGCCATAGCACTCTGCAACAAAGTGATTCTCTGTCTCCAAAAACAAAAAAAAAAATCTTGGATGAGGAGGAAGGAGTCCCATTGGACAACCTAGCCTTGTGGGCCCTCCTTTCATGGCCAATGGAAAGCTTTGTGATCCCAAGTCAGGAAAACAGAGTAGAAGATACCTGGAACAAATATAACCAATAAAGACCTCATATCTAGAATATATAAAGAACTTTTCCAAACAAGCCATTAGAAAAATTGGCAAAAGACCAGAATAGACACCTTATAAAAATTGAGATCTGTTTTTACATGTGAACAAGTATTCAACGTCATTAGTCATCAAATGAATACAAGACAAAAATACACCACTTTGAAATTGGAACTCTTGAGCACTGCTGATGAGACCATAAAATGATGTAATCACCGTGGAAAACAGTATGGTGCTTCCTCAAAAAATTAAAAATAGAACTATGATATGATAGTCCCTCTTTTGGGCATATGCCAAAAAACTGAAGACAGGATCTTGAAGAGATATTTGCATACTCATGTTCATAACAGCTTTATTCAAAATAGTCAAGAGGTGGAAGCAACCCAAAAGTCCACTGACAGAGAATGGACAAACAAAATGTGGTATATACATACATACGTACATATATATATAGGCCAGGAGCGGAGGCTCATGCCTGTAATGGTAACACTCTGGGAGGCTGAAGTGGGTGGATTGACTGAGCTCATGAGTTAGAGACCAGCCTGAGCCAGAGCAAGACCCTGTCTCTAAAAAAAAAAAAAAAGCCAGGTATTGTGGTGGGTGCTTATAGTCACAGCTACTCAGGAGACTGAGGCAAGAGAATCACTTGAGCCCAGGAGTTTGAGGTTCCTATGAGCTATGATGCCACTGCACTCTAATGAGGGTGACAAAGTGAGAATCTGTCTCAAAAAAAAAAGGTGTGTATACACCTTTAATACATACATATTAAAAAAACACTTTTCATTTAATAAAGCTTCTTTACTTCTTTCTTAGCTGTGTGATCTTTTTTTTTTTTTTTTGAGAGACAAAGTCTTACTATGTCACCCTTGGTAGAATGCCATGGCATTACAGCTCACAGCAAACTCAAACTCTTGGACTTTCGCGATTCTCATCTCAGCCTCCCAGGTAGTTGGGACTACAGGTGCCCGCCACAATGCCTGCCTTTTTTTTCTTTTTTTTGGTTGTAATTGTCATTGTTGTTTGGCAGGCCCAGGCTGGGTTTGAACCTGCCAGCTCCAGTATATGTGGCTGGTTCCCTAGCCGCTGAGAGGGAACTAGAGTTGAGTTATACAAGTTATAATATGCTTAAAAATTTATTTAAAACAAAATGAAAATAAGTCAATTTAATTATCTTTTAAATAATTTTTGTTTCAAATCAGCTCACAGCAACCTCAAACTTTTGGGCTCAAGGGATCCTCTTCTCTCAGCCTCCTGAGTTGCTGGGACTACAGGCACAGGTCACAATGCCTGGCTAGTTTTTACATTTTTAGTAGAGATGGGTCTCGCTCCTATTTAGGCTGTTCTCAAATTCTTGAGCTTGGGCAATCCTTAGCCTCAGCCTCCCAGAGTGCTAGGATTATAGGCAAGACCCACTGCACCTGGGCCCTTTCCTTTTTTTGAGACAGAGACTCTATTGTCTAGGCTAGAGTGCCCTGGCTTTGGCCTACCTCACAATAACCCTTCTGCCTCAGCTTCCCGAGTAGACGGGACTACAGGTACTTACTACAATGCCCAGCTAATTTTTCTTTTTCTTCTTTTTGAGACAGAGCCTCAAGCTGTAGCCCTGGGTAGAGTGCCATAGCGTCACAGCTCACAGCAACCTCAAACTACTGGGCTTAAGCAATTCTCTTGCCTTAGCCTCCCAAGTAGCTGGGACTACAGGCACCCATCACAATGCCCAGCTATATTTTGGTTGTAGTTGTCATTGTTGTTTGGCAGGCCTGGGCTGGATTCGAACCCACCAGCTCTGGTGTATGTGGCTGGCACCTTAGCCACTTGAGCTATAGGCATGGAGCCTAATTTTTCTATTTTTAGTAGAGACAGGATCTTGTTCTTGCTCAGGCTAATCTTGAATTCTTGAGCTCAAAGGATTTTTCCACTTGAGCCTCCCAGAATGCTACAATTACAGGTGTCAGCCACAGTGCCTGGCCAATGAAAAGTGTTTTAAACCTTTTTTTTTTTTTTTGGTTCGGGGCTGGGTTTGAACCTGCCACCTCCAGTATATGGGGCCAGTGCCCTATTCCTTTGAGCCACAGGTGCTGCCCTAAACAATTTTTAAAGTCATAAACACCCACATACTATACTTTCACAAGTCTTTTTTTTTTTTTTTTTGAGACAGAGTCTCACTATGTCGCTCTTGGTAGAGTACTGTGCCCTCACAGCTCACAGCAACCTCCAAGTCTGGGGCTTAAGTGGTTCTCTTGCCTCAGCCTCCCAAGTAGCTGGGACTATAGGTGCCCATCACAATGTCTGTTGTTGTTGTTGTTATTGTTGTAGTTGTCATTTTGTTTGGCAGGCATGGGTCGGGTTCGAACCCACCAGCCCCAGTGTATGTGGCCAGTGCCCTAGCCACTGAGCTGTAGGCACTGAGCCATATACACGGGAGCTGGCAGGTTTGAATCCAGCCCAGGCCTGCCAAACAATGATAACTACAACCAATAAATAGCTGGGCATTGTGGCAGGCGCCTGTAGTCCCAGGTACTTGGGAGGCTGAGGCAAGAGAATCTCTTAAGCCCAAGAGTTTGAGGTTGCTGTTGAGTTGTAATGCCACAGCACTCTACTGAGGG